TCTTCTATTTCCTACAGCTACACAAAATGCTCTTGAAAACTGAGGTTCTGAATGATGCTTTGTAATAGTCTGTGGAAAAAAGAGATTCAATCATGCTCCTTTCTTATTGAAGTGGGATGGGGTAGGAAGGTGTACTGATATTTTTTAGTAACTTGCAAAGTATTTAATTTAGAGTTATAATGCACTCATATACATTGCTTTATTTGAATTGATGATCAGGTTAATTTATTTGCTCAAGGTCACAAAATGTGCATGAAAGAACAAGACCATGCCGTCTTCAGACTCCAAGGACCAAGCGTCTTTCCCAAAGACAATTTAAAGACTACTAGTCATTTAGTTAACCAACATGCAAACACTTTGGTTAACTAAGTTTTTATATTTACAAGAATATATAATCCCAGACTAACATAATTATGTATTTCTACCTCACTCTCTCTCCAGGTAATTATTTTTGCAATAATCTAAATGGCTATCAAAGTTATAAGATAAATTATGAATATAATATATAAACTCTGAAATTTTGATGCTAAATTAATGAGAAAACAAAAGCAATGAAGAATTCCAGACATGATAGAGTAATTGTTACCAAAACTTGCCTTCCTGCTATAAATAACTTTACAAGTGAACAAAGTATATAAGGCAACTATTTCAGGCACTGGAAAATTGGCATCTTAAAATACACTATAAAATAATGCAGATATTACAAATATGTTTGAAGACTTAAAGGAAAACATAATCTCAATGAGTGAACAAGAGTAAACTTCAGCAGACAAATGGAAATTATAATAAATAATCCAATGGAAATTCTAAAACCAAAAAATGTACAATAGCATTCACTTCATAGGATGGGCTTAAAATCTGAGATAGAACATAAAGGACACTAATTTAAAGAAAGATCCATATAATCTGGCCAATGGGAAGAACAGAAGGACAAAAAAAGATAAAAAATAAACAGAACTTTAGCAACCTATAAGACAATATCTAACATTAATGTAGTTGAGCTCCTAGAAGAAAGAGAGGTAGAATGAGGTAAAAAACATATTTGAAAAAATAATTTTTTAAAAGTCCTGAACTGGGTGAAAAACATTAATCTACACATCTAAGAAGCTCCGCCAACTACAAGTAGAATAAATACAAAGAAAACCAAACTTAGGGACTTTGTGGTCAAATTAGTGAAAAACAAAGATAAAGAGAAAATATTGATTGGTCACACTCAGAGTAAAATGAGATATCAGTTACCAAAAAAAGGAAGGAGAAGGAAAAGAAGAAGAAATGGAATTCCAAGAAATGGAATGAAAGTGGTGAAATGAAGATAAAGTAGTCATTAGGGGTGGAGGAATTAAACAACAACAACAAAAAAGGACTTATGGACACAGACAACAGTGTGGTGATTGCCGGGGGTGGGTAAAAGGTGGCTAAATGGCAATGGAATACATATAATAAACATTTAACTTAAATAAGAAATTTAAAAAATAATTAAAAAGTACAAACAGAAAACAAAAAAATTAACATATTGTCCTATTTCCTTCTTGCAGTTTTTGTGTAAATATTGTGTATGATTTTTAGCCCACATTGAGGTTATACTACATATTTTAGAATCTGTTTTGTGTTCCCTAACCATATGTCATAAGCAATTTCTAATGTTATTCTAAAACATGTTTCAATTTAATAATATAATTATATAATGTTAATAAAAAAAAGTCAACCCAAAGCTCTATATACAGTAAACTATCCTTAAAACACGGGGGTGAAATAGAGACACTTTCAGATGACTATAACCAGAGAGAATTAATCCCCAGCACACTTGCAGGAAGGAATAAAGATAGAAATAAAGATGGAAGGAATAAAGGTGGGAAGATTAAAAGTCTAACTTCACTTAGTTATTTTCTTCTAATTTCCTTAAAACACAAATGATTGCTTAAACAAAAATCACATCATTGTACTGAGAAGTTCCTAATACATGTGGAAGAAAAACATGACAATAATGCAAAGGACTAATGGGTGTAAGTGAAACAATATTCATTCCAGGCAGCCAGTACTAATGCATACGGTAATTGCTAGAGCAATTTCTAAAAATATACAAAGAGGTTATACAAAAAGCCAATAGAAAAAAATAAAATAAAACATTATAAGTTACTTGATAAACTCAAAGATAGCAGGAAATAGGAAACAAAAAACAGATCAAAAGCAGAAATAAATTGCAATATGACAGAATAAATCCTACCTTACAACAGATATCCTAACAGAATTTAAAATTGTAAGTCAACAACATGATATCTAGAAAATCATAAAATACTTGAAAAGTAAACATTTCATTCTAAATAAAATTCTAACATTCTAAATAATAAGAGAAGTCCAAGGGAAATTAGAAAATATTTTAACTAAATAATTTTTTAATTGGCTCTTTGAACAGATTAATAAAACTGGCAGACCCCTAGCAAGACTCTTTCTACCAAAAGAAAAAGACCAATATAAGGAATTAAAAAGGAGATATAACTACAGACCCTATAGACATCAAACCAATAAAAGAATATTAGGAACAACTTTATACCAGTAAATTTGCCGAGTCAGTCTATTTGTACAGTGCAATACTTCTCAGCAAAGTGACACACAGAATGACAGGGACAGATCTCACAGCTATTATCTCTGGTTGGGGGCAACAAGCACAAAACCCCACGCGATGCCCTAAACTAGCAATCCATGGTGGGTGATAAAACCAGATCAGTGTTATGTGGGGCAGAGGGTCAAACGAGGAGAATTCACGGCAAGGGGGCACGTATGGTATTTCTGGGATAATGTAATATGCACAAGGTCAAGACTCATCACATTGTACCCTTAACACCTGAACCTTACTCAATAAAAACTTGCATCAAATAATTAATTTTTAAGAAAAAATAAAAAATTACCACCGAAATAGGAAGGAATGTGAATTTAGTTCAATTTTTTTATTTTAAAAATTCTTCCAAAAGTTTAAAAATACTTCATTTCTATTACATACCTTCTTAACAGAATAGGAAGCATGCACTGTGGGCACCGTGGGCCTGGAAGTGTGCTAGTCGCTTTCACATGTGACACGTCACACAGTGCCTTGGGAGACAGAAGACCTGGGGTCAAATAATGACCACATGTCATCTCTTGGTTTTGTGACCCTAGGCAAGTCACTGAATTTTAAATTTCATCAGCTACAGGACTGATGTGAAGATTAAAAAAGGATTTTAAAGTAGACACTGAGTAAATGGAGGAGATAAACAACAACGTGCACAGGAGACAGAAGATACCGGGGAGAGCGCAGTTCCAGTCACGTGTTCGCCTGTGGAGGGGTGGAGGTGAGGGTGCAACAGAGGCATCCACTCTCGGCGACTCAACACCAGGTTCCTACCACGAGCAGCGGGTGCAGTGATGGGACAGGCTCAGCTGAAGCCCGAGACTGCATATACTTTCACTGTGACCTGAATGGCTGCATTCTGGACAAACGATCCCTTGTCCTGACAAGGCGCATGAAATGGCAGGCTCCTTGGCCACTTCAGACTCTAAGGGGCTTTACCCAGTTTCCTAAAAGCTGCAAGGAGTCTTCTATCACTATAGATCTTCAAAGTCCCAACATGACTGATGACCATCCATTCCTTCTAACCCTGAGGTTTTCGGAGATTCTGCTCTAAACGAGACAACCAGAACAGAGGTCTTCTGGATACGGCAGCATCATTAAGGCCTAGTAGGCTGATCTTCGGTCGAGTTCTAGGGAACAGTGTTGGGCCTGACAGAAGTATTCTAAAAGTGCCTGAGTATAAAAGTCTAGAGGGTGACTACAATAGGGGCCCAGATTTAAGACCTGAGAAGTCTCGTATCTTCACCCGAATACTAGTAGGGAACCTAGAAATTCAATGCTCAGTCACGGAACAGTGTGATAAGGTTTTATTTGACAAAGGTGTCAAGAGGAATCCACGGGGCTAAATGAGGAGACAATGAGCCAGGTGGTGGGGAGGCGGCAGTATTGGGAAACATTCTCTGAGAAAAGTGATGCCTGTGCTGAGTCCAAAGACAGGGAGGTATCTGGGTAGAAGGTATTTCATGGCAGGGGTCGCAGCACAAATACTCAAACAGGTTGGATGGTGCCACTCAAAGAAAACTAAGAAATTCCACAGAGCTGGAGCGAACGATGTGCCGAGAGAGAATGAGGAGACAGCAGAGGCAGGGTGTGGGGAAGGACCGGTTTAAAAATCAGGCGGAAGGAATTCACAGTTTACCTTGAGATGAAGAAAAGCCACTGAAGGACTTCAAGCAAGGAGTACCACAAGGAAATTAGCATTGTAAAGAGATCATTCTGGCAACCGTGAGGAACAGAATGGAAGGGGACAAAAGTCGAGGTGGGAACGACAGTGGCCTAACACAGAAGCAGTCACCATGGAGGGACGTATTAGATGCAGAAAAGAGGCCCAGCGCCCTCGGCTTGTTCCCTGATTTACAGGAAGGGGAGAGAAAGAAGGAACTAAGCACAATTCCTGGGCTTCAAGCTTGGATGTGTACTGGAATAAGTCAACCTGCATTTGAAAGCATCAAAAACAAAGAAACTGCACTAAAGTTTTAAAAAATGAATTGACACAGAGGCACAGGCTTCTTTAGATACTATGGATGGACACACCATCACTAAGAAAAACCAAACTCTTAAATTCACAGAGAGGAATAAGCCAGAGCTAAAGAAATTCCTGTCTAACATGTTGATGAGTGAATAATCAAATAACAAGGAAGGCAATTCACTAACAAGAGAGCCATCTACTGCCTTACACAGATAGTGCAGCAATGAAATGCCACCAAAAAATGGGGAAGAAAGCCAAGTGTTTTAACACTTCACACTGTACGTGTAGTCACAAAATGTTTGACCCCTCCCACCCAAAAGTCCAAGTGGTTAGCACCTCTAGCTAATAACCGAAGGTTTTCACTTACTTATTTTACCTAAAAACATCAATGCAATATATATCATCACTTGAACATAATATGCTTACCTGCCATCATTGCTATCATACTGGCTTTGTAGACATTAGTCAGAGATCCAAGTTCTCCCGTCGCTAAGATGGTTTTGAGATGAGCTGTCCCACAGGCCTTGCGGAACTGACGAATCTCATCATACAGGGCTGGAGAGGGAGATAATTGAGGCAGTTACAGAACAGGCAAGTGATAACATGACTTGGCAGCCCCTCGGAGCTGGTAGGGCCCATCTCAGATTTAGGAAACATAAAACATTTGTCACTTTCTAAAAACCACCCCAATTTAACATAGCCTAGAGCATTCTGTTGCAGTTCCCATCCTGCTACAAGGAGTGCTTCGTTTGCTACCAAGAAACCATTCCTGAGCCCTGGCCTCAGGTCGAGAGCCACGAAGCTTTTAAAATATCATTATAATGACACACAAATTTCCAGTAATTTCTACCTCTTCCAGAGGACAGGTACTTACAAGAAAAAAAGAAATTTACCTACTATACATATAGGGGCGTACCACTTTGCAAATTAAAGAAAAAAATCTCAGGTCCTTATTAATTCTTCCATTCACAAGTAATAAGTTGTCTTGTTGGAATATAAAGCAGGCCTTTCCTGAGAGCTCGGCTAATGACAATAAAGACATAACAGCTTGTCCCACTGTCTGCCGGGGCGTGTGCCTCCAAATCTGACTAAAAAGTGCTGAGGCAGCCCTGGATGTGTGGGTGTGGAACCTGTGTACAAGGATGTACAGATGCAGTCTTGATTTATGAACCCCAGACCCTGGACCCACATCTGGCTTTCTCGGGCTCCATACAGCAGCCTGAAAGCAGCTTGATTATTACATATAAAACTACACACAACAAAATAAAATCAAAACAAAAATAAAAGCAAACCACTTTGGATTCAAAGTAACCGAATTTTAGTAAACAAAATGAGTATAAGAATAAGAGTTTAAAAAACTATTTTATAGCCTTTGGTCCTGACACCAGTGAATTTGGGCTTTCTCTCCCCCTCATCAGGTTGGCCTTATCCATTTCTTTAACTTAAACTATTGCAAATCAGGACTAAGATCGGGGCTTTTCCTTTCTTCTCCGTGTATGTTTCATGAGAAGTAGTTTCATGAGCACACGGACTAAACTGACCAAAAAGGAAACACTCACATTAAGGGTTAGGATTAGGGTAAGCATTTTTTAATACAGAAAGGAAAGTTCTGTAATTCACAAGTTTCCTAAAGTACATATAAAAACCTTAAAAGACAGCAAAATCAGTCAAATCCACGAAAGTTACAAGAAGGACAAAACTTGTCTTTGCAATCCTAGATAACCTGAACTTAAGTTGAAGCTTGAAAGTGGAAACAATACAGATAAAACCAAATAATTCTATTAGGAGACGCTAGGTAAACTTCAGTGATTGCTGCCACGAGAGATGGTACTTGGAAGATTTTTAAGAAAAGATGGCATGTTTTCACAAATCCCTAACAGTCTGTAGTTCTGAGTAGCAGAGATGACCAGAGACGCCGCACCACCGGCCGGGCGTACCCTGCCCCTACTCCCTAAACTGTGAGAAAACCATCTTACCCCTGCACCCAACATGGCAACATGTGTGAGAATGCCAGAGGTATGCATAGTAAAAAGACTATGTGATAATAATAATTTATATTTTTTTAACTCACTGCCTGACTTACTGAATCTAAAATGGGGGAGTTTTTCTAAGAAGTAGTGATGAAGAAATTGCTTGATCTAAAAATTAAAAAATGCTAATCCAGAGTTAACTTGTGATTTAATTAATGACTTTTCTTCCACAGTACAGTGTTGCCATCAAAAGCCAGCTGGAGAGTCCACAAATGTGGATTTAGAACCCAACTCCATCACTCCCTGCGTGACCTTGGGCGAGTTACTTCTCTTAGCCTTAGTACCATCCTAAAAGTATCAATAATAACATTTACTTCATAGGGTTGTTACGAGAATTAAAGAGATACACACACGTGTGTGTGTGTGTGTGTGTAAAGTACTTAACACATTGCCTGGCTTATTAAAACATGTAATCCTTATTAAGCTCGGAATGTTAGTGAAATGAGTTCTGTTAAGTGTTGTGCGATGAAAGTCACACCTTGTTTCACGGCCTGATCCCTGTACTGCAGTGAAATTTTTTATAGGGATTAGTGCTCATAATCAGTGAGCCATCAGATAAGGCTTGAAAGTATTTTATTACAGCACTTGTTAAAATGAACTTTGGCCCACATCACAAAATTCTTAAAACACTGATCTCGACCATATTTTGGACAAAAGCACCATCCTTTTTCTGAAGTGTACTACCTTTTGATATCTGGTGAATTTCTCCATCTACAATTAAAATCAACCAGAAAACCTGGACCTGTCTTATGACTCAATTATCAGCCACCTGGAAGTTATGATCTTTAATCCATGATCCAAACAGAATGGACCAAAAATGATCACTTAGAGCTGAACTGCATTCAACAAATACACAACCAGTGCCGATTCAGCCTTTACCTGCCAACTCCTCACACCATTTTACTGACCTATTTCACCACAATAAGAGGGTCAGGTTTTTTTGAGCAAATATCTCAATCCGTGAAGTTCAACAGTGGGAAAGTTGCTGTTTCCTTCTGTTACTATTCTTCCCAGAGTAGACCAGAACAGGTGAAGACAAAAGCATATCTAATGTGGCCTTTTCAGTTTCCAGTTTCAGGGTGCACAGTGTGAGACAAGCTCGGGCACGCGGTTCCTAACCCTTTTGACCCCACAATTCCACTGCTGGGATTATATCCTAAGAACCCTGAAACACCAATCCAAAAGAACCTATGCACCCCAATGTTCATAGCAGAACAATTTACAATTGCCAAGTGCTGGAAGCAACCTAAGTGGCCATCAGTAAATGAGTGAATCAAAAAACTGTGTTACATTTACACAATGGAATTCTATGCAGCAGAAAGAAGGAAGGAGCTCCTACCCTTTGCAACAGCATGGATGGAACTGGAGAGCATTATGCTAAGTGAAATAAGCCAGGCGTTGAAAGACAAATACCATATGATCTCACCTTTAACTGAAACCTAATCTACAAAACAAACAAGCAAATAAAATATAACCAAAGGCACCAAAATTGGGAATAAACTGATAGTGACCAGAAGGAAGTAGGGGGATAATGGGGAAAAGGGTGAAGGGTTTACAGGAACAACTATAAAGGACACAGGGACAATGACAAGGGGGGGGTGGAAACAGGGAAGGGAGGAGGAGAAGGTTGGGGTGCGGGGGAAGGGCAGACAACTGTACTTGAACAACAATAAAAATCAAAAATATTAAAAATAATAATAACGTGGCCTTTTTAAAATGTGGCCTGGGCTCCATCAAGTGAATGCTGCAACGTGGGCCTCTGAATCTTAGAGAGCAATCCAAAGATGAAAGAATGGTTAGAGGCTGTCCTTAGTGCTGCGGCATCAGCAATGGCAGCAGATGCAAGAGCCCAGTGGCCACAGCTAGCAGCGTGGTACCACATGGGCCAGTGGCAGCAGCACCAGCAGGGGCCCTGTGACCACGCTCCTCCACTCTCTACTGGACATACTCACTTCCCAAGCCTGGCTTTTCAGGCCTGCGACTACTACAGTGAGTTACCATACATCCTCTTAATAAATCCCTTTCAGCTTAACTTAATCAGAACTGGTTTTGTTTTCAACTCATAAGTCTAGCATAACAAATATTTACTGAGGAAGGATGAAATAGCAGACAAGAGTGCCCAGAATGTCTGGGTTCATATCCTGGCTGTAAAACTTACTTGTTGTTTGATTTGGGCGATTTACTTAATCTTTGTCCCAGTTTCCTCATCTATAAAATGGGGATAATAGAGGTGCCCATACTTCATGGAGTTACTTTAAGCATCAAATAGATTAATACAAATAAAGCGCTAAGGACAGTATTTGTCACATAGTTAATGCACCAGAAATGGCAGCTACTTGTTTTCCTATTGCTGGTAGCGGTGGTAGCGCTATTACTTTCTTGCTGAGTGCTTATTAGATCCAGAGTACACAGGGACTGATAAAAGTAGAGGACACCATGGCCTATGCATAAAATTTCTCTCCCAGGCGCTGGCAGAACAGTCCAGAGGACAGAAAGTTTACTACATCACAAACAATGTTCTAAGACCTCATTTTGGATAACACAGACTTCTAGGGTAATAAGACTACTTACTACATTTGTAAACTTGTAGGAATGACTCAATTTTCTAAGCCTGTTTACTTAGGGGGCCACAGTTTGCTCATATATTTTTCTGAAGATTAAATAAAGTAATACCTGTGGCTAGAACAGCATTAGGCATACAGTAAGCAGTTAATCATTCAATACTAGTTTTCCATATTTTTCCTTACTTACTTCCAAGAATGCAAAAATAACTTTATAATACAAAACAAAGCAAGCCCTGCTGTAATACTGATGAAAGTATATTTAGCATTTACAAATCTTGCATATAAGAAAAGGAGACCACTCACACACAAGCCACAGAAGCCACAGGAAAACCTACTGGAAGTGTCTAGATCGTTCTGAGCACCTTGGCAGGACCATGACAGACACCTTAGAACGAGACAGATGGTAAATGCAACTCAAAGAACTCGATGGCTGAAATGTAACTCAGACCATCTGGAATCACTTTGTCCTTTAACATGCTCCACTGTCACTTTCCTCTCAATATAAACAAGCAGAACAGTGAAAAAAACTAGTGGGTGGATGTCCCCCTGCATTAGCAGCAAAGGGCGGCAGCAGGATGTGGATTGATAGAATTGTGACTAAACTATCTGTGTGGAGAAAATTACAAGGCAAGTCATAAATGCAAGAGACCCTCTTTCCAAAAAATTCATCATTACTCGAAAGAATAAAAAATACCCTATGTCTTCAAAACGCCGTCCCTTAAAAATTCTCAAACTGTTTTCACTGCATCCAGGGACACTCTTACCAGAGGATCCGATCATTAACTAGCCTGAGTACGTGGTACTGGGCCAGGGAGACAGCCCACAGGAATAACAGATAATTATATACAAGAAAATTGGTCAAATAAGTAAATATACTGGGAATGATGTGAGCAAGATTTCTCACTGACAAGAAAGAGGGACATCAATATAAAAAGGAAGAGGTGAAAATAAACCATGTGAC